TTCCTTCAGTCACACGTTCACATCTCCTCCTCAGACTGATCTTATGTTCATCTAATACCTCCTGCAGGACAGCATCTGCTAAATGAAACAATAATCATTGGCCTCATTAACTAATATTTGCATGCACAATTTACACATTTGCATTTGTATTCTTACCCTTCGAAAAAATAAAGTGTTCCCATGCAAAATCAGCATGCCAGATTCATGAAACATGATTACTGGCCTCTTTTGTTCTTACCACTGTGCATTTGTTAGTACATCAGAGTTGCTCAGAAACAACAGACTAACACAATACAAGAAAAAGAAGAAAAAAGAAGGGTAAGAACCACGAACCCTAATCTATCAATCCCATGTGAGAAGCTCAATGCAGTGGAAAAAAAGAGTGTAGTGTTAAATTTATATTGTCGACATATGACTGGGTGCGTTTTGTTCTTATAGTTTATATAAATAAAGGGATCACAAGCAAGGACATCAGGTAAAGACAGCATTACAACTGATGTAGGGAGTGGTCAGAGGGAAGTGCAAACAAATTCCGGTACAAAAATATTGATAAATCATGGGGTTTTTTTTTTGTGATTTGTGTGTATGCATTGAGACCCAGCCTAACAAAATATAGTGAAAGAAAACAAATATCACAATAAGAAGTCCATTTTTCAGAAATGAGACCATCAGCAGATATATGTTAAGTCTTACTTTATACACTGCTGCTCTTACCGGTAGTCTGGAGTTCAGCTCCGGTTCTGGGTCCACTGATGTCCAAGGAATTCAGACAAAGAATTGTAGATTTGTAGAATTGTACACAGGTTGGTAAGTTTTTTAGAACCATTTCTAATTAAATCATCAGTTCAAACAATTGTACATAGGTACAAGTTATTTGGATATGTCACTATTTTTCCATGGTTTGGAAGAAGACCGGAACTGTCATCCTCAGATGAGAGAAAATTATAGGGTATTCCTGCCTGCCATGAACTGGTTTACTGTCCCCTGAGAACCAAATTTTACACCGTCATTGAGTGAGAGAGTCATAACCTTCTCTAAAATCTAGGTTGGTACGCAAAACAAAACTAGAATTAAATGAGATAATTAATAAAAAAAACAAAATTCTTAGTACAAAGTCTACGCTTACAAAATTATGAACATGGCATTAAATCCAGTCAATTTCTAGTGAACCAACTAAAAATAAATAAAGAAAAAACAACTTGAACAGCTGTTCAAGATTCATCTGGGAACACAATATTATACAACATTTTCAGGGATTTCTATAAAACATTCTATTCACCACAAATAAATCCATCTAAAAACGAAATTGATCCGTTTTTGGACAATATAGCTCTTCCAAAATTATTTGACACTCAAGCAATGGCACTGGATATGTATGCCCAATAATAAGGCTCCAGGTCCAGACAGCTTCCCTGTAGAATTCTACAAAGAATTCTGGACGATTCTAGCACCAATTCTTTACAGAGCGTTGTTGGAAATCAAAGAAAAGGGCAGACTTCCATTGAATATGAATTCTGCAGACATTAATCTCCTGCTAAAACCAGGCAAAGACCCTGTATATCCCTCAAGCTATCGTCCAATATCCCTTATAAATGTAGACCTTAAAATAATCTGCAAA